ACTTGAAGTCCCTACTGAAGCGCCGATCTGCTGGTTATAAAACTAAAAAATCAACAATATGTTCTCAACTGGAGGTAACCACTTCTTAGCAACTAAGGTAAAGTTTGTTTGTATATATATCGTAATGTGTAACATTGAAAGATATTAGTTCCGATACTGTAAATAAGTATAACAAACCTTTGTTTGTTTCAGGTTGCTAATTTTAGGTATAAACGGTGCATGTGGGAGTATAGAGCTCACGAATATCACCACAAAGAACATGGAAAATCACAATATATTTATATATTATTATACTTTTAATATTAATTATAATTTTTTTTTACTTTTTTATCATACATCTACCTCTCTTTAGCATAATATTATTTCCTCGCTTTGTTTGAGATAAGCATTATGCACGCCTTGGCCGGAACGGGGATTGCTTGACTCGTATTAATACAAGGCCGCGCTGGCGCTCGGCCTTGTAACTCCCTCGACCAGCGTTCCCTTACTTCCCTGCCTCTGCAGTATGTGCTATTAAGTCTAATTTCTCTTCTGTACTTTCGAATTATTAATGTGAAATTGAAAGTTGTTACTTTTTCGCTGATCAAATGAGCTTATGATGGGAGGGTGTTTCTCTCAACATATTCCTTAGTGACACATCGACATGCCATTTTTTTAAATTCCTTCTCATTCTAGATCGGTTCTTTGGTACGCCAGAGCAGTTTTTTGAGTTTGCAACAATACAAGAAATATTACTCACACTTGAGATATTATGCTGACTACGCCATGGGTGTATTTGTTACGGAGGTTGGTATAAATCATACTTTCTCAAAGTGGCACCTACCGCCACGCAGTGGGTGCTGAAGAGTCCTAGGGGGACGGTAGGGGCCTCTGAAGCAATTGAGGGGCGTTGATGCTGGTCAGGAGGTGCTACCGCATTTGAAAAAAACCTGAATAATCTATATAAACTACACTACATATCTATACAAAAAATCATTGAAAACACGAAATAAAGAAAATAAATAAATAAATAAATAAACACACACACACACACACATATATATATATATATATATATATATATATAAAAATAATCAAATATAAAAGAAAATCACAAGGATTGTGATTTTCTGTGTTGTTAATATAAAAAAATATGTGTTTTCGATTATTTTTTGTGGTGATGCGCGTTGAAATTTTTTATTTTACCAAAGTGAGCGGCAGTGAGCTAAAAAGATTGGGAACCAATGGTATAATTCATATATAGATTCAATATAAAATGTTCAGTGTATGTACGTCATTGAATTTTATCACTACGTTGTTGATACTTCTCCATGGTGAAGCAGTAGGTGGCAACTACGCAGAAAGCACTTGGAAAACGCACTGTCAAGGCCGTAGTTTTTTGAGATCCATATAGTGAAACGGGATACCCTGTACTTTTGGATTGAGCATGACCAATATATATGTAAAAATCATGAATTACATTGACCAAAAATCTCCTTAGACATGCCAATATTTTAACGGTGTTTAAATAGTGCTGTAGATTAAAATATGGTTTAAAATTATTATATTCGTTCCAGTTTTTTAAGAATCAAACCGATCCTGGTAACGAGTGGTATAAATATAACAAAGATGGAGGAACTACGGGCAAATACCCCCACTGGAAAAAGGCACACTTCTGCATGTACCCTGGTATGTAACTATGTACCCTTAAATATAATAATGTTATAGTTAGTAGATAGGATACATCTTTGACATATGGAACAACGTGTGTTTTTTAGCTTTATCTACATTGTAAAACTTTGTCATATTATTGGGTAATACGATTCATTACACTGTACATAATGTGCCAGACAACGACACCGATTAATTGCCTGGTCTCAGTCTAGGGAATTCCCTGTACTATGAGTACCAGAGTAACGGATTTCACTCTGTGGCACTTCCCACAACACCTAAACTAGAACCAATTTAGAAAAATTGATTTCCCAAATTGGTACTACCGGACCTCTTCATCCCGCGACATGAACCGTCGGGTCGGGCCGCCGAAGTCATAAATCTATAAATATTCATGTTTCATGTTTTACAGATATGTACAGCATAATTCCCGATGATCCCACCGTGACAAAGCCATTCAACGTGACCGGGAATGGCATATTCGTCCCGCACGTGAAACACAATTATTTTCATTGGCAATCGGTCTTTATGATTGTTAGTTTTCAGGTAAATTGCGCTAAAACCTTTAAGTCTCTATGAATTTTCTTACAAAAAAGGTTCCGTATTTAAAGAAAATAGCGTTCATCCCGCGCACTGCTGGCGCGTCTTAGTAGCGGTCTAGACGAGGACGAGCTACGTGAATAGCCCTTTAAGCTGGAAGCTATATCCGGAAATTTTTACAGGACCAACATTTCCAGCACTAGCCCGGGGAGCTAGTAGAGCATCTCCTACTCATCAGCCAGATATCCTCCGGTCCCTCCAGCTGCTTAGGTTCCTAGGAAAGGGACGTGGGCGTGCCTATAACTCTACCATCAAAGAGGGGATTTGGTAGTAGACTTCATAGTAAACGGCTTAGTGTTAGCAACCGTTAATTGCGCAATGCGCAAGGGAAAGTGGACGTGCCAACAGCTCCGGTACCTATCTAGACAATAGTGAGAGCGCTGTACGTGCACCCGGGGCACCTCAACAAAAGGCACTACTGCTTTTGAGAACCGGTTGAAATCTGTGTAAACGGGCTGATCTGAGATCAGAACCTGACTAATAAGGTCACCGTGCAGGTTTGCTTGCACAGGTTATAGTGCCCTTCTCGTAAATCTTAAGGGTTGGTAGGAAGGACCACTACAAACAAAAGTATACCCCCAGGAACTAAGCCAACCCTCCGTATATGAGGAAATGTAGAAGAACTCTTTCACAAGGAGCTCTACTGTTACTAAACATGTCATTGTTTATATTTATTGGAAAGTTGGTAATGTTTATCCAATTAGTTCAACTAAAAAGAAATATGTTAACACTCAGTTAAAAATATAAATATTTGTACTGCAATTTTTAGATCTATCCCTAATATTAGTTTAGGGTACCTATCCATTATTGTTTTATGATTTTTTTATACCTTCCACGCTTGTCTTTATGAGTCAGAAACTATACTATCGACCTTTAATATTTTTCTAACATGACACCTTTTTCACATCGTCTTCTCCCATTGGTATTTTATTATAAGTACCTTTGATTTGGCATTTATTGAGAAGATTCATTTATCAGCTTTTTCACGTGACCAAACCGTCAAGTTCATACCTTCTTACATTCAAGTAACTTCCATTTTTTTAGAACTCTATTTATTTGCAGATCTTTATGATATTGGCAGGTGTGACAATAAACTTGTTGATGCATCCGGTCTGTGAGATTGTACGGAACTCTTTGAATATAGAAACGATGATGAAGAACGCACGAATCCAGCAGCAAATGCTCGAAAAGAAAGATGAGTAAACAATGTTAAGATTTTGGAGTTACAGTTTATCGGACCCCTCAAAAGTACCGTCAGTGTGCGAGAGGTGTAAAATAACCCCGTCAGTACCCTTAAATAGGGGTACAAAGTTGCACCAGTATAAACGTTAAGGGTACAAGCGATGCAAAGTCTGACATAACAAATGTCTTAGTGAAATTGGTAATATACAACATTGAAAGGATTTTTTTGGTGTAGGTGACTGATACTAAACTTTGAATTTTATTTGGGCTACGATATCAACAGCCATGGGATCTCAGCAGAGCCACCGGAGAGGAAGCCTCCCAGTGGCTAATGTTGCCAATTTCTGCATAAGTGCGGCCACGCGTAATGAATTCAATGGGGTGACTTTAATGAGTTGATTTTGATTAGCATACGCGTGTGTTTCACTTTCTCCACGACTATTTTGTTTGTACATTTTTATACGAGTCTCTTTTTTTTAACAATTTATTTTAGTTTTTTCTTTTAGTTTTTTATAATAAAATCACGTCCTGAAACAAATTTACCTCCGCTTCACCATCGAGCTGAATAAAGCCTGGTAGAATTTAAATTAGTATCTAATTAAATTAATTCTGATGAAACGACAAAATGACGATGTAACAAACAGATGAAATTTCAAGAATATTCACATGTTATATTAGGATTTACAAAAAATGCCTCGTTTATAATGTAAATGTAAAGTTTTTTTTTATATGAACGTAATCAATTTTCTTGCAATGTAAAATATTATTGTAAATAAATAAAAACAAGAAGTCGTTTTGTTTAATTCTTTTTACGGTGCTGTCATTAAATTTATTTTATAAAGTTAGGTAATGAATAGTAGAGAAATTTAGTTAAGTCTTTACGTGAATTCTGACGACATATTATACCACAGTTTGTTTGAAAATTCCACAATCACAATGGTTAATTTTTCCTTGCAACACCGCTACACAGCGGCGCCTAGATATTTTGTTTCTGTAGCAACCGATTTGGAAATTTGTACTAGCTAAGACAAATGCCACATACGTGGAAGTTTTTCAGACATTCAAATGAACAATGCGAGTGAGGATCTTTTCCATCCTCTTAAGGAGTGAGGGCGTTTCGTTTTTGAAGTTATTTCAACTTTGGAACCGAGGTGTATACACTACAAAAGGTGTTTCCTGTCACCCTGTTATGTAGGCTTTTCTGTGTCGCTAGACATTTTTCCATGAATTTTGAATATGACGATGCCAAGTACGAGATATTTTATCAGCATGTTATAATTGTTATAATTAATTAAGTTTAGTTATCGCTGTCGCTGCGAGTGGACGTGTTCTAGTGTACTCTGATTATAAAAAATATTAAATACATTAAAATGCCCTCCAAATGTAGTGCTTGTGGTGGGACAATAAATAATGTGACCTTTATGAAGTGCTCAAAAAAAACGTGTAATAAGTTGTACGATCTAAAGTGTCTGGCAATCCAACAGCAATTGTTTGAGGATTTTACTGATGAATACAAGGAGAAATGGGTATGTCCTGAATGCTGTTGTACGAATCCGAAGCGCAGCAATGTGAATACCCCAGTCCGTACACCAGGTATTACGAAGAGTTACACGAGCGATTTTGATAATGTGAATATGCAACGCGGTAGTTGCAACAGGACCAGTCTTGACGCGCTGCAATCCGAAGACGAAACTAAATTGCTGGCTGAGCTAAGAGTATTCCGAATGGAAGTAATATCACGCCTAGACAACCAGGCCACGGAGATTAAGCAACTCCGCGAGTTATGCTACTCAGTCAAAACAGAGTTGTGTGAATTGCAAACAAAAATGAGGGTAATCGAAGAAAAAATAATCCGTGATGATAAACAAAATACTCCTGGGGATGGTTTGACGAGTCGTAAACAGCAGTGGAAAAACCTCGCGACTACCGGTATAAAGGGACAGCTCTCGGAGGCAGCTGCTAATATAGATAAAAAAAGAGCAAAATAACTTACGCCGAAGTAATGAGCGGTAGTATTGAAAATAATAATGATTCAGTTGTACTAGTCACACAAGATAAGAGTAACGGAAAGTTTGGTAAGGGTGGGGCCACGAAAACTGTGAAGGAGCTACCGCTTCAAAATTATGTGACAACTGTACCGACAGTCACAACTGAAACGAACAGCAAGGTGAGAGGAAATGAAGATAACTGGACAATGGTTACAAAGAAACAAAATAGGCGGCAATCAAAGGAAATAATAAGAGGTCAAAATACTTCAGTAACACACATACAAGCTATAGAACGGATGAAACATCTTCATGTATGGCGCCTGCACCCAGAAACAACCGTTGAAAGTTTGTCTACATACGTAAGGGCTGTGTGTGGCTCGGAGGTGACAGCAAAAATTGAAAAAGTTAGCCATAAAACGGAACGTGGTTATGCTTCTTTTATAGTAGGTGTACCGGAAACGTTCTACAACAAACTATCGCAGCCAAGTGTTTGGCCTGTGAACGTTGAATTAAGTGAATGGATTTGGTTTCGGAGATATAATAAGCACCCATACAAAGCCAGTTAAGCAAATAGAAATACTATATCAAAATGTTCGGGGGCTTAGAACTAAACTTAACCAGTTTAAGATTAATTTGGAAGCTTCATGTGCAGATTTAGTAGCAGTGACAGAAACAGGATGCAATAAATCTATTCAGGATGAAGAAATAATACCTCCTATAGTCCGTTTTTATTGAAGATGGAAAAATTTGACAATTCATTGCGCAAAAGTGTTGCCCGTTCTCAAGAAGCTAGTGATTGCAGTCGATAAATATGAATGAATGAATGAATGAATTATCGACTGAATATTGGTTACGCTTACGCAATGATTGTCCGAACTTGTTAAATTTGAATCATCATCGGCCCATTATTCGTGCCACTGCTGGGCTACTATTGCTTTTATTTTTTTTATTATAAATTAACATTGAAAAACGTAAAAAACTGTATAATAAAAATATACGTCATCTTTACTTATGCTGGTAATTGGTATATGCGAGTCGTTATTATATTACTTATTATAGACAAAAGTAGCTACTAAAATTTAAACAAATAAATAAAATGCCGCACGGGCACAGCGGGCCGGTTGAATTTGCCGCATTCGACTACCACTCTTTGGCTTGTTCGGATGTGCTAACTTGCGCTCGCGCTTATTACGTTTCTTTTGTTAGTTCACGTTATTGTTACGTACGTTGTTAAGTACATTTGAATTGTCAACTTTTGTAAGTTCATCACATCTATTAAAAATCAAAAAGGGAAATTTTGTGGTTTTTCATTTTAATTCAGTATAGATAATCAAATCCAACTATCATTATTAAAAATGTATATGAATAAAAACGAGTTCAGGTAGTATTCTACATAGTCTACAATAGGGCAATAATTTGAACGTGCGTCTGTAGATACTTTACGAATTGATTTTGATACTCGCGGGCCAAACGTCAAAATAAGAGTAAAGACGGCGATAACGCAATTACTAATCATTAGAATGTTATAAGTCTCACAATTCATACATTTTTTGGAAACTATTATCATCTTTCCAGCCTATCGATAAATCTATCGACAACAGCTACATGACTATTTAAAATTTTACGAAAACTGGCAACCCTGCAAATGTCAAATTTTTCCATCTTCAATAAAAACGGACTATAGTTATAACATCATTCGATGCGATCGTGCGGACGGGCGTAAGCAGGGCGGCGCGTTTCTCGTGGCCACACACGAGTTCCAACTACGTCAGGTGGACATGCCTGGTGACGTCAACATTGATAGCTGTACATTTGAACTGGTTGTGGCGACCGTACACTCGAACAATAAGTTGTTGTTTTTATGTTGCGTTGTCTACATACCCCCGAATAGTAGCGAATGGGAGTACACGACTTTGTTTACATTAATAGAGCGTTTTTCTGTGAGATTTAAAGAAATTATTGTATTGGGAGATTTTAACTTACATTCAGCCAATACTAATGTTATTAATTATTTTGAATATTTTATGGCATATTGTGAATTTACTCAGTGTAATAACGTTGAAAATTGTGATGGACGTCAACTGGATTTAGTTCTAAGTTCAATGAGAGGTAGCAAGCAAGTGCGCGTGAGCGGCGCCGACGAGCTGCTAGTGGCGATGGACGCGTACCATCCGCCGCTCGCGGTGCGGCTAGCGTGCGGGGGCCGCGCGCCCGGCGACTGCGCTCCCGCACAACAACAACCGGTTTCATTTCAATGGAATTTCGGTAAGGCTCATTTTTCTTTGTTATACTCTTTAATGCACGCTGTAGATTGGAGTAAATTATACTCGATTACGAATCCGGATGAGTGTGTCACACTTTTTTATGATATTATTAATAAAATATTAGATGTGTGTGTGCCTAAAAAAAGGAGAAAACAGACACTTTCTAGGTACAGCTATCCAGAGTGGTACACTACTGAGATAGTACGTAAAATAGAATTAAAAGGGAAATTGCATGCGCGATATAAAGCGAGTGGGTCGCAATGTGATTACGAAGAGTTTTCTAAATGCAGGGCGACAGTTAAATTGCTATTAAAAAGTACACATGCTCACCACATAGACAAAATACAGAGCGAGCTCACTAGAGATCCTAAGGGGTTTTGGATGTATATAAAGTCAAATAATAGGCCGAGTAGAAATAAAATTACAAAAACGGCAATATTATTTCAGATTCACAATGCGCCAAAGAGCTAGCTTTATTTTTTCAATCAGTGTACGATTCTCATGTGCCAGAGCTGAATGTTGACGCAGCAATAGCAGCAAGCGGGGCGGGCAGTGCGCGCGTGCATATCGGACGAGTGCAACTGTACCAGGTTGAAAGAGCTCTAGATCGCCTTAAGCCGAAGCGCTCGGCGGGGCCAGATGGCTTGCCGGCGTTTATGATTAAGGATTGCCGAGCTGTGCTGGCGGAGCCACTGCTGTATATTTTCAATCTGTGCATTCAAACTTCGTATTTTTCTGTTCAGTGGAAGGTGTCGAGAGTGGTACCGGTCCCTAAGAGCGGCCAAGGTAATGATGTGAGTGGTTTTAGACCAGTGGCCATTCTATCGACAGCGGCGAAGGTTTTTGAATCAGTCGTGCAGAGATGCATGTCTAGGCAGATGAGTGTACAACTGGCTGAGGCACAGCACGGCTTTAGGCCGGGTCGTAGTACTATGAGCAACTTACTTAACTTCGTCACATATGTGGTACCGAAGGTGGACGAAGGTATGCAGGTAGATGCCGCGTACTCTTCTCTTGTCGTTGAGCTCAATAGGATATTGGACCTCATATCTGCATGGGGATCCAGTAATCTTGTTGAGTTCAACGCCAAGAAAACACAGGTTTGCGCGTTAACAACAAAATTGTCGCCGTTCCTTCCCATGCCTTCTCTGATGAGCACAGCACTTTCACCTCGGAGCAGTTTCGCCTTGCTCGGTATGGAAATCTGCTGTGATTTGAATCCAAGGAGCTACATCGAATCTGTGATCAAAACAGCCTCACGGAAACTCGGAGTCCTGAACAAGGTGCGACGTTTTTTCACGCCGGACCAGTTATGCCTGCTGTACAAAACACAGGTCCGGTCTTGCGTTGAGTATTGTTCGCACTTGTGGCACGGCTCCGCCAAGTACCTACTCGATGCCTTGGATAAATTACAGCGTCGTGCTACTCGAATTATAGGCGA